TTTGCTCAGAATTGACACCAGGTACCTCACCTGGTACCCCCTGGCGGGTACCAGCGTACTTTGGGGGGGTACCAGCGTACCCGCGGCTGTGGTGCAAATGGCACTCTTATGACTTGAAATTGCAGTTCACTTTTTTTTCTCACTACATGCAAGTATTGTGTTGAGCTAATCTTCTAATACTATCACCTTTCTTTAACCTTTCCCATCTTATTTACCCCTCTTAGCAGTCTGAATACCATCTTTCCACTTGGCCAACACCCCTTCCTTTATCATCCCATTTTTTTAGTAGAAGGCAATGGCCATCCCCCTACTCAGTGACTGTGCATTAAAGAGGGTACCTCTAGCGGTACCCTGGTACCGCCTTCATTTTGCTCAGAAATGGACACCAGGTACCTCACCTGGCACCCCCTCGCAGGTGCCAGGAGGGTCCGGGCGGTACCAGGCAAACAGGTGCCGGGTACCTCCAAACGGGTACCAATGTCCATCTTTAATCCCTAGTCATCTGATCAGCTGGATTGATCAATACCCACCAGACAACAAGAATTCGTTATCAAAGCCGACTTGATTGCTTCTGGAGAAAGAGTCCCCTTGGGAATTGGTTCCATAGCCTCCAGAACTGACAGCTAAAAAGAAAATTGAGTTTTTTTTTGTGCTCGTTCCGATTTATTGTTTGGAGAGATCATATATTAAGTTGAAGAACACAATGATTCAAACTTGTACTTACAATCGTGACTATCTCCAACACCACCGGCACTGACTCCGCCACAAGCCCCAAAGTCATCAGAAGGGCTGTTGGAATTATCCAGCTCTCCCGCTCATAATTCTTTTTTTCCCTTTTCTTGTTTCCTCCCGCTCCGCTCTTTTTTCCCGCTCCCGCACTCTTTCCGCGCTCCACTCTCGTCATGTATCCTATTTCACTATCAATCGCTCCCTTGTCTCATAATCTTCTTCCTCTCTCTTCCAATCAAGACCTAACACTCCTCAATCTCAACCATAAATCACTCAGCGTATCAAATACAGGTCACTCGTCAACCACAAGCCAAACCTCTCTCTCTCTCTCGTCGATTCATCTATAAAAGCCGACACAATGGACTCAAACGATTCTCGCTCAACAGTCTCCGCCATCGTCAACAATCAACTACTCACTCCCTCGATCGACTAACCTCTACCACTTCTATACTGTTCGACTGTTCTCCCAAACACTTTCCTCAAAAACACTCCATCCACCATTCCCCTAAATATTCCTCTCCGACTCCGCTTTTTCTCTTCTCTCGCTCTCTTCTTTCTCTCTCTTATCTCGCTCATTGTTCGCTCACATCAACGACGACGACACAGTCTCCCATCCTCAACTCAACACTCACTTGTCCTTGTTCCACTGACTCTCTCCCTTGACTTTCTCTCCTGGCTTTTGCCAATTTGGTGAGAAAACCCCTCAACATTTCCCTCTCTCAAAAAAGGGCTTTTGATTAACTTTTTTCTCTCAAATCCTTGTGTCTCAGTGTCTATTACTTGTCATTGTTTGACATTGTCTACTTCAGTCTTTCTTCTCTGTCTAACTCAAAAATAAACTATCACCGTGGTAAATTTTCCTATTCATTGTTGTCTTTCTTTATGTTTTCATAATTCTCTTTTGAATGTTTTTTCTAACCTTTGTTTTTACATCTTTAAGTTCTGGTTCTAGTATCAATTATAATTCCTGTTTTTCATCAAGGGCCAGTATTGCCTTCACCAGACAATCCTGAAGAGCCGTAGCCTCTCCCGGCCATCAAGACTTGTACAGTCTCGCTGGCCGGGAGGAAAGAGTCATTGGCGCGCTGACGTAAGCAAAAACGTCTAGAGTGTTTTGCTTACATCAGCCTGCCATGACCTCTCAGGTGGTTGGCGTGCAATCCCACCCGCCCGTCTCTGAGGGGCGGGTTTGATTGCACGCCCCTCAGAAGCCTGATTCCTCAGAAAATCAGGCTTCCGAGGGGCGGGGGCGTGGGCGTGCGGGAGGGGGGAGGGTGTGCGTTTATCAACGCACCCAAAAAAGGTACCCTGCTTTTTTGTGCCATTTTCTCAAAGTCTTCAACTTCAGCCGGTCAAGAGCTCAAAAACTCAACAGTTATCATGCCCCATTTTTAAAATAGTTTGTTAAACAATTTGGTTGATTTGGTGGGGATGACACCTTGGAATCCCTAGTTGTATGCGCAGAAAACCCAACAATTTTGTTAAATAGATTTCAATGCCCAAAAATTCCACATTCATAAAGAACCTACACAAAATAATGAAAAAATGAAATGAAAGACAGATAGGTGATAAAGAATTTTTAGGCATAATATAATATATGAGTGTGTTGTTTAGTATTCAATATTCATGCCATTGATTAGCATTAGCTAGTTTTGTTGTTTTGTTAAATTGCTAGTCATCAGTTTTTCTTCTTTTTTCCTTGTGAAGTGTGACCAATTTGTAAAGCTTTTGTGGGTTGTCCCGGTCTGTTTCCTCTAGGATTTCCAATTTTCCTAGTATCTACAAGTTTTGCAGATTTTCCAATATCCCCAGATTTGAAATTTGATCCAGTTGGTCTAGTATTTCCACCTACTCCAGTTTGTCTGGTTTCTGCAGCTTTCAAAGCTCCTCTGTTGTGCTGAGTTGCTCCATTATGCTGATTTGCTCCATGAGTTGCAGCGTTTCCATTCAATCTATTTGTTCCTGGTAATTGATTTGTTCCAGGTGATTTATTTGTTCCAGGTAATTGATTTGTTCCAGGTAATCTATTTTGAGCAGTTGGTCTAGTTAATCCATTTGTTGCATTTTTCTTATTGAATCCTGTTTTTTCATTGAATCCAGTCTTGTCATTTAAAGCAGTTTTTTTCTTCAATCCTGTTTCTCCATTTACCCCAGTTGTTCTATTTAGTCCAGTTGTCCCATCAAAGCCAGTTGTTCCATCCAACCCAGTTGTTCCATCTAATCTAGTTGTTCCATCTGATCCAGTTTTCCCGTCTAATCCAGTTGCTCCAGCCAATTCACCTGTTCCAGTTCCTGAATTCAATCCAGTTGGTTGATTCAATCCATCTGTTCCAGTCAATTCAGTTGGTCCAGTTGTTCCAGTCAATTCAGTTGGTCCAGTTGTTCCAGGAAATCCAGTCCCTCCATTCAATCCAGTTGTTTCATTTAATCCAGTTGGTTGAGTTAATCTATCTGTTCCAGTTAATGAAGTTGGTGTGGTTGTTCCAGTTAATCCAGTTCCCAAATTTGATCCAGTTGGTACATTTGATCCATCTTTTCCAGTTGATTCAGTTGTTCCAGTGAATTCAGTTGTTCCACTCAAATCAGTTGTTCCATTTAATCCGGTTTGTCCAGTTAATCCAGTTTGTCCAGTTAATCCAGGTGTTCCAGTTAATTCAGGTGCTCTAGTTGATTCAGGTGCTTCAGTTAATCCAGGTGTTCCAGTTGTTCCAGTTTGTCCAGTTGATTCAGGTGGTCCAGTTGATACAGGTCCAGTTGATCCAGTTGGTCCAGTTAATCCAGTTGGTTCAGTTGACTCAGTTGTCCCAGTTGGTGCAGGCTGCCCATTTTGACCTTGATCATTTTGAATATTTGGGACATCTTGAACATTTTGTCCAGCTTGTCCATTTTGTAACTGGGTATTCTGATCAATCTGTATGGTCTGGTTATCTTGGCCATTTGGTCTGATTGTTCCATTTCCTAGCTCTGTTATATTTTGTCCAACCTGGTCAGTTTGATTGTTTGCTCCATTCTGTTCCTGTGAATTCCCACTGTTTCCCGCATTTTGGCTGTTATTTTGAGCTGCCCCTTGTACTGAATTGGCAAGGTTTTTGCAAGCCTCAAGTTGCAGAGTACAATCTTTTATCTTGAATTGTCCGTTTCTGTTAAAGAAATCTGCACATTGGTTTGATTGTCGGTCACAAGACCTTATGATAGCATCTATTGCCTGTCTGAAGGTCTCGTCGGCTCGACCAAACCTAAGAAAAAAAAATCGTGTTTCTTGTGAGCAAATAACTCAGGCTACATCAAAAACAAAAGGTATCTGGTTGGGAATATGCTGACTCTACAACAAAAGTGTCACCCTGCTTTGTCACCTTGGGGGCTCGGGATCCCAGGGTTCCATTGAACTTTTCGCGTAGTATCAAGAATCATGTCAGAGAAAACAGATATAAGAATGTCAAATTGACAAAAAAACAAAAAACTTACTGTTTGAAAATTTCCTGTTTGGTCTTGCCTCGCTACTAACTTGTTAAAACGACCAGCACCTTTGCTTCTTGGTAGCAAGTTGTTGACATGGGGACTCACACCATTCGGGATGATTGCACCATCAGAATCAGAAAAGTAGACACACCAGAAGAGCAGGACAACGAGTGACTTCATCTCCATTCAGTTTTTCTCCTTGAGGTGAATGGCAGAAGACAAAAATTTGAGTATTGAAAAAAAAAAAAATCAATAGATATCAAAGCTGGTGATATTTTATTCTTTGATTGAACGAAATTCCTCCCGGCAGGCCCGAGGTCAAAGGTATGCAAATGAAAAGAAACGCCGGGTTTCTTCTTCTTAAATCGCTGCAACAGAGGTTACTCATGGAGTGCTGACTGGAAAGGGGTAAGGAGGCGTGCTTTAAATATTGCAAGCGACTCATGATCCGGTATGCGAAACTTCAAGCAGTGCGGCTTGAAAAGAAATGAACTCCGTCAAGACCAATTGTGATTATGAAGCCTTCCAGTATGTAACTTAGCAATGTTGGGCGATTCTCATGTGGATGTTTCAAATTTGAAGGTGCCAAAATTGGACGAAATTGAGCTAGGATGAATTCAGGAATTAAGGTACCGGTGATCCAGTTCAAAATATCCCTTTCTCCAGACCGTTGGTCTAATGAAAACTCACACGTCCTCAAAAGAGGTTGAGACTATTAGCCGTCAATTACTAGATACCATGCGAGCCGGTAATAAACCAATGTTCATATTATCGGTCATGATTCATGTTACTATATTGACCAGTCATTACCCAGGTTTAGTGTTATCGGCGGCCGGACATGGCTCATTTCGAGGGCACGATTTCATTGATTGATTATGGAGTAATCATTGACCGCTTGGGGCTCATGTTACAGTTACCAACCAATTAATCCTTCCAAATTGAAGGTAGAGGTTCTCAGAGCCTGACGACGGGTATGAAGTCGTGCCGAGCCGGTCCAGTCAAAAAAACTGTGGGACCGGTTCATCTGGCCATGTCAAATGACTCTTCACTGCCAGTAATTATCGGTCAACAAATCCAATTAGCACTTCAAAAATCGTTTCAATGTTTCAATCGGATCATTTCTTGATCAGAGCTGTAAGATGCTCGCTTCACATGCGTCTAAGGGGAGAACACCACCATGGACGATGTGATTGCAGCAAACAAATTCCATCCCGCATGGAATTTGGCTGTACCAGAAAAGCATTTAACCAAGAATATGACTCCAGTGCAGTTGATCTGATTATGTACAACTACCAAAAGAACAAGAAGAAGAAACGAAAGACCTTTGGTAGGTGTTTTCCTCTTGCCAGACTCACAAGATTTGACAAGAAAAAAAAAAAATTGAGGTTTAACCTCCATCTACTCTACTATTTCTTGGAAACAAAGGAAACCAACGTAAACATAAGCATGTGAGTTTGTATCACAATGGTGGGCCAGTCCGTAATATCCAAGGTCAAATTTTTTAGTTGATCAGATGCAGGTGCCGGATGAGACGAATTTTCCAACCACATTGTATGTTCTATGATTCACAAAATCTCCATAAGTTTGAATATGATGCCTTGATCAAGGCATGATCAATTCAAACAGTAGTAAAAATTGCAAAATGGCACATAGTGTATACAGCTTTCTGATTGAATTTTTTTTACCCATTTTTTTACTTCTACTAAAACGAATTCAAACAAACAAAAAGGAAGGTAATGGAGGACTTACTGTTGGTTTTACAGCCTCTATAATAAAGCTAGATTTACATGTTGTCAAGCTATTTTTTTTTCTTGGGAAAACAGCTGAGCTTACAGCCTGTAGTTCTGGCTTGACAGGGGCCTGGTAATCTATTTTTACGGGCTGTAAAGATGTTTTTCCAGCATAAAGAGCCTGTACTAGATAAACCAACAGGAAGTGCTCCAATAAGTTCCAATCACATGAAGAAATACTTGAGAAAATTGACAAGTCTGAGATCATAAGGGCCTGTACCATAGCACCCTAGCCAATTTTGAGTTTCATTTTTTTCAAAGCTTTTATTTTATTTTTTACCAACCAAAATTTAATTTGGGGTTGGGCACTGAAGATCTGGTATTTGCACTGTGGCAAATTAGGTGCACATGGTACACCATTTCTGTTGGAGTCAATTTCCGACTTGATAATCAGAAATTGGCCTCAAAATTGGGGCTGTGGTACAGGCGCTAAGTGTTACCTAATAAAAAAACTAAGGCTCCATTTGGCCGCCATAGATATTGTATATTTCTATCTGAAAGTCCTGCAGATTCTTTTGGGGAGGACAGGGCTTATAAGGATGGGGATCAGAAAGTTGTTTTTGGCTGGTCCCATGATTTAACAGGTCTCTTATAATTATCAAATGTATTGTTTGCTCATCCAGCCAACTAGAGGCCCATTCTGGACTGGTCCAATATTTACGGTGATGATGGATTTGGAGGGTTGTGTGATAATCAGATGATTAAGGTTGAGATGATTCTTGAATCCAATTCTGAGGATTTGCATCCAACAATATATAACGTTTTGGGCAGCCAGATGGAGCCAAGAAGATCTGAATCCAATGAATGTCTTGAATCTGAGAAAAGACTTTACATAATAAGAAGAAGAAGAAGAAAAAAAAAAGATGACAACACAAGATAATTGTATGACAAGAATGAAAGAGAACAAGTAGCTGCTCCAAAGACCAGACAGAAGAATATAATAATTAGGGTAGCTAATTAAGAAGAGTGATGTGTAGGTGAGTTGATAAAGCTATGAGCCTATGAATGATTTTTATGGGGAATCAGATATCCAGCTGAGAAGAGTCCCCCTCCCCTGAAGGCTGGAGGACCGAATGTGCATTATAAAAAGCCATGCCAGGTCCGGGCCACAGGTTTTTGAGGATTTGGATAGGCCAGTTGGTGCTGGCTATTATATATATTATGGCCATGTGCTTGTCCCTTCAATCGTGATCTTGGATCGTGCTTGAATTTTTTTTTTGGATGAATGGCTTATTAAACAATATCATAAGGGCTCATTTTTTTTTTTTTTTTAATTCTGGCAAGAAGTTAAAAATCGTATACATATATGTAACAGCTCATGATTGAAAAAGGTCTGTTTGTTATGTGTCATTTCAGGTCTTTATCATGTAATACATAGGCTTAAATAAAGCCATCAGTCGACTCCACCGTTTTCTGAATCAAATCACAGAGGAGCTTCTCATTTATATTAGGTAGCTGATCTGTGGGAGGCTAGCTCTGTAAGATTGGAGGAACGTTGGGAATTTTGATCGTTTGAATGCGGTTGAGATACTTGGTTAAATTTGTTAATATCGCATTCAAGACGTTCGTTGTTCGGGGGATGAGTCTTACATATCATCGAAGTCTTTTTGAGTACAACTAGACCCTCTTTCCCCGTGGTTGACCCCCATATACATAGGATATTTTGCAACAAAAACGAGAGAGAGAGAGAGAGAGAGAGAGAGATGGTATGTATGATTGTCTTTCTTCTTGGATGATCTGGTGCCCGTTGTAGTTATAAGATGATAGTGTGAGAAGGAGAAACGGTTGTAAGCCTTTGCTGAGTTTGTTCATGAGGGCGGCAATAGTACTTGAGGCCGCGTCATCATCCATCGGTAGTTGCAAAATCGAATCCGGGTCCGTTCGACTACATACATATGGGTTTGTCCCAAGATAGATGGGCTTCTTTCCTTTTCCATTATTTCGTTTAAGGTATAGCCTCTTCTTTTACAATACGGGGCTCATCACCCAGTAACTCTTGATTGGGTCGACTAACGAGCAGCTGGATGGATGGATGGATCTTCTTCTTCTTCTTCTTCTTCTTCGGCGCCCTCCACTGATCATGAGTCATCAGACTGAGTCCAACTGATGATCACTCCTTTAGGTAAAATCTGCATATTTATTTCCGAAAATAGGACTGAGCCACTCCTATCAATAATTATCAACTCAGTCTGGCCGGAGTGCTCCTGTTTGTCCTTCGCTGCCTGAACCCAACAACAACAACAACAAAGAAAAAAACCCCATCCTCAAGATTCCCAGTTGCCGGATCACCAGCCATCTCTCATCGACCAGCGAACAGACTGTGTGTGTCAGCCATCCCGATCATCGCCTACAATGTGGGTGCTCTCTTCTGATTCGTCAGAATGTTTTCGTTAAAGCTGACTCGGATCTTTGGCCTGCCCAGCCATCTCTTTAGATAAACAAATCCAGCCCAAAGTTTATAAAGACCAGCAAGCCTTCTCGCCACTCACCAGGCTGGCCGAGCTGGATCCGATCATCGACCGCTTAAAGAATCACTCCCACTATATAAACACACCCCCCTCCTCCTCCTCCCCCATTCCTTCCTTCATCTCACTCACTCACTTTCACTACTTCACTTCACTCCAATCCACCACCAGCCAACCAACCAACTTCAATCACCACCTATTTATCTTTATCACCAACCAACCAAAGCCAACCATCCTCACCTAATATTCAACCAAACACACACACACACACACACTACCATGTTCTCACCCATCTTTGACTCATCCTTCTCCATGGACAGCAGCACCACCAACAACAACAACGAAACCGAGAGCGGATTCCTCAGTGCGAAACTGACGTTGGACATGAGCTTCAACCGCAATCCAGAAGGAAGATTTGCCTGCGACGATGTCGATCCCTTAGAGCAACAAGGCCCAGACTTTGTCCAGCCCACCCCGAGCTTCGGATCGATTGCCGAGGAGTATTCCGGCCTGGAAGGATTGCTGGAGGCCTGGAAGTTCCCCCTGAGGACCGACTTTGCTCGCGGGATCATCTGGGGCCCGTTCCGCCACTACCGTGGAAACTCCTACGCCGAGCTCGCTTCGCCTGAGACGGCCATCGAAAACCTGCGCTCGTACGCCGAACATGCCATGTTCCCCGCCCGGATCCCTCAGGCTCCCGTCCGCCGCCAACGCATCTTCCCTATCCTCAGGGCCCCTCAACCTCAACAACAACAACCACAATCCACTCGTCCCTCTCATCCTCAGTCGCTTCATCTTCGTCATCCTCCTCATCCTCCTCATCCTCCTCATCGTCGATCCTTTCGATCGCCTCGACCGTCTCCTCAGCCTCCTCAATACCCACCACCTCTGCGTCGACCACCACCAAATCATCCTCCAAACGTCGTCGAAGACCTTCCACCACCTCATTCATCATTCCCCGCGAACCCCGGCCGTCAAGAGCCGCTGCCATCAAGTCTGCTCAGCTCCAACTCGCCGCGAGGACCGCCGCCCAGAAACCGCTCTCCTCCTCCTCCCGTCGTCCTCGTCGTCCCTCGCCCCCTCAACCTACCAGCGCCAACAAGAAACCCAAGTTCATCCACCTCGAAATCGCCGTCCAGCCCAGCCCCAAATCTGACCTCCCCATTCGAAGAATCAGACTCTGTGCTACCAGTCTCCTCAAATACGGTGATCTCTTGTAAAATCTTCCCCCCGTTTCCAAAACTCGTCGTCGTCTTCTTGTACTACCTTCTGGTCTCGTCTGCATCATCCTTTCATTCGTTTTTTTTTACTGTTATCATCATCAGCCTATATCATTATTGTATCCGCCGTCTCCATCACACTCTCATCCATGTATCTCCATTCGTCCTCCGGTTACCACTCCGTTCTTCATTCACTTCCTCCCAATTGGATCGCAGCTCTACCATCCTCGCCCGTTTTTCATCATCATCATCATCTTTTCTTCTTCGTCCATTTCGTCCTCTTCTTCTCTCTTCACATGATCTGTCCACTCGTTTTTTTTTTTTACATCAATTACCTGTACATATCACATCCTCATTTCGTTTCTTCTCTTTTCGAGCGTGAGTCGTCGGCCTTGATGTTTTCGCGTCGTTCCAGCCCGCTTCCCATCGTCCCCACCTGCAAACTAACCCAGGTTTTTTTTCATATTATGTGTGTTTGTTAACAGACATCCATATCCGTCCGTCGGTCCGAGCCACATCCGCAATCCCATCTGGCCCCCGCCCCCCGTCCTCTTTCCTTCCTTTTCTTTCTCGCTCTCGTGAAACATTCTTCTTGTACATCTTCTTCCTTTTTTTTTCTCTGTACTTTGCACTGTCCAGTCGTTCCAAACAAAAACACCTCATGATTGTAGATCCTGCATTAAACCTTGTATTCTCTCCTCCTCAGACCATCATCACATTGTCCACCATCGCCACACTCACACGGTGCACCCATTTGTATCGCTCTGGTTGACCTGACCGGAACCTCCCCCCCCCCCTCTCCTAATTTTTTTTTCTTTTTTTTTTGCGTGTTCTTTTGGTGTTGTGTATCGTCTCGTCTCGTCGGATCATCTAATTCTGTATCTCTTTGAATACTCCTCTTCTTCTTCAGTTTGGATTCCCTTTTCTACGTTCTTTTTTTTGCATTAATTATCATTATTTCATCGTTGGTATTTATGTTGTTGTTGCCCCCCCCCCCCGGGGGGCTCAGGTATCCAGATGGACTTTTCAACCCCCTGGGTTCATAATTGTTTACAGGGATTTTTTTCCTTGGTTTTGGTTCCTTCATTTTCACACCACATGTGAGATTCCTTGGAAAAAAAAGATTGCAATAGGCCATCATCACATGGCAAAAAAAAAAACTAATTGCAAGCGGGTTTTCAAGCCAAACTTAATGCAAGTCCCTCCCTGGTCCCAAGGGAGGGACTTGAGACTGATGTGCTGTTGTTGGCTGGAGAGGGGGACCAACCATGTGGCTGGAAAAACCCATTTCCAGCCAGGGTTCCACCTTGTAACTTATGACTGACCCTTCTTCACGCATGGCCCCATCAGAACCAGAAAGGTTTTTTTTTTATTACAAATGTTCACACCCACCACTGGTCCTAAAATACGTGATTGGCTAGAAAAAATATTTGCAATCATGTAGAGATTGGATCACTCTGCTTATCCGACCAAAAAAAGAAATCTGAGCACCACAGGATTGGAAGGCCTGACCTAAACACACAGGAGAGAAGAGCTGATGGATACTCTCCGATTGTACTCTTTCAGTGTTCCAATCATGAGTTGATAAACGCACTCCTCCCCCCACGCCCCTGCCCCTCCAAAAGAGGCGTGCAAGGACTGATTGCCCGCCCCTCGGAAGCCTGTTTTTCCAAGGGGCGGGCAGAAGAACCCGCCCCTCAAGAGGTCATCGGAACCTATGGATTATCGATTTAGGTCCCCATGGCCTCTAAAGAAATAAACCTTACCGATATCAAATCGGGAAGGTTCCTGTCTTTGCTTACGTGAGCAAAACATCCAGGGATGGTTTGCTCACATAAGCCTGCCTCTCCTCCTTGGAAGGAGAGACCTTGACCGATATCGATTATCAATTAAGTTCTCTCTCCTCCCAAGGAGGAGGGAGAACTATGTTGTGGTTTGCTTACGTGAGCAAAACACCTGGGGATGTTTTGCTTACGTAAGCTGGCTGAACATGTTCTTTCCTCATCCTCCCTTCTGTTCTTCCCTCCCAAATCCCACCCTTAACTTTTGCTTTGGAAGTATTTGGTTGGTCGGCCGGGAGGAGGAGTTAGGTGGTGGTTGAGGAGAGGAAAGGAAGGGGAGGAAGGAACAGGGAGGGGGGGGGGGGGGGGAGAAACAAACAGGGCAGTCCGCTTACCTCATCAAAACATCCCAGGATGTTTTGATGAGGTAAGCCGCCTGTGCCGGCCTGCCATCAAGGTTCTCCCTCCTCCTTTGGAATAGAGAGGCCTTAGTTGATACCCAATATTGGTTAAGTTCTCTCTCCTCCCAAGGAGGAGAGGGAGGCTTACGTGAGCAAACACAGTAACCTTGCCGATTGATATTGGTAAGGTTCAGAGCTTGTCAAGGGGTGGGTCAAAGGCCCCGCCCCTTGGTTAAGCTAGCCACCAGTCCAGAACCAACCTATCTCGGCTCTTGGCTGGCGTGAAATCCCACCCGCCCCTCAATCAAGGGCGGGTTCTTCTGCCTGCCCCTTGGAAGCCTGTTTCCTTGAAAAAACAGGCTTCCAAAGGGTGGGGCGGGTTTGATTGCACGCCCCTTTTGGAGGGGCGGGGAGGGGGAGGGAGTGCGTTTATCAACGCACATTCCAATCTGTTCCACCTAAAAGCTCATCATAATTTGATCATTGCAGAGCACGGTAGGACACTTCCAACAACTGATGCCAATATTTTCAATCACTCCTAAAAGTTGATCGGATAAAATCCCGCTCAAGTCTGCTCCCAAAGCTCTCAGCGGGTTCATCCATACAATTGAATGCAATCTTGTGGAATGCGTGGGTCTATAGTGGCTGTCCAGCTGCCAGTTTCAGACTAAAATTTACAAAAAAAATTATGGGCAATGTGCGCCTGAGAAGCAAGCCTACAACTTTTCCAACTCAGTATTTAATTAACATGAGTCATTTTTTTAAAAACCAATGGTTTCTATTTATTATGTTTTTCTGGGCAAAAAGCTGTCCCTCTCACCCGACGCATGTGACTTTTCGCATAAGCCACTCCTACAGAGAGCATCCCACAGGGACGCGAGCGGAGTTGGTCCCCCGACTCCCCCTCCTTTTGAGAGGCTTAGTTAAGCTAGTTTCAAACCAGCTTGTTGGGTGGAATCCCTTTGGACGAGCTGGTCTATATGCCTGCTTGTTGGGCGGGGTTCCTCTCCCGGCAAGCCAAATTTTAAACCAGCTCGTCAAAAGGGATTCCTTCTGACGAGCTGGTTTAATCAGGGGGAACCCCTCCCGACGGGTGGGTATACAGACCAGCTTGTTGGAAAGGATTCCTTCTGACAAGCAGGTTTCAAAAACCGGCAAGCCGGGAGGAGCCCCTCCTGATGAGCTGGTGAACAGAGGCCATCTTGCCAGGTGGAATCCCCCCCAACAGGATGGTGTACAACCAATTCTGCCGCCAACAAGCTGGGATTGAACCGGCTGGTGAGTAGGACACCTGTCCTGCACACTTTTTTTTTCTGGCGTGCAGCCAAGCACACCTTTGAAAAGAGGCGTGCTTTGCAGTCTTGCACACCAATTTTCATTGGTGTGCGGTCTCACACTGTGCATGTGCAAAGGGGGGGGGGGAGTGTGTTTATCACTCTCTGTCATCTATCAGGTTTTTTACTCCCATCAAGGACCAGTTTTTTAAAAGTCCTTGATGGGAGTACATTTCCCATTTATGACTGGTCAAAACCAGTCATAAATGAATGGACAAAACCAGTCATAAATGACTTGTCAAAACCAGTCATAAATGACTTTTCAAAACCAGTCATAAATGAATGGACAAAACCACTCATGATGGGGGCGTTTACCCCCATCAAGTGACAAGGATTGGTTTTGACCGGTCCTTTATGGGAGTACTCCTCCCATTAATGACTGGTCAAAACCAGTGAGGAAAAACAGGTTTTATAATTGAAACTAGAACCAAAACTTAACACACAAGAAAAAACAATTAGACAAGAGAGCAAAGAAATGTTAATCAAAAAAAAGAAGGAAAAAAATAGCATACCACGATGGTTGTGTTTGAAAGGAATCAGAACAGACAGACTGAGATAAAGTAGATCAAAGAGAGACAGATAGTACGTGCTTTTTCAGAGAAGAACAAGATATGAATTGGGTCAATAAGAGATGCGATCGAAGAGAGTTAAAATAGATCAGTTTTGTTTTCTCACCAAATTGGCAATAGCCAAGAGACAATTTTGAGAGAGAGAGTCGGAGCAATTAGAATGGGTGAAGATCGATATGAGTAGAAGTCGAGGTGGAGTCGATATCGATAGGATTGTTCAATGAGAGAAAAGAGAGACAAGAGATAGATGAGAAAGGAGAAAAGGATACGAGGTCGGAAGGGGAAGTTGAAGAGTGGGTTGTAGTGATGAATGCCGGGCAGTTTGGCTGATTGAGGATAGTGGATTGAGATCGAAGATCGATGACTGTCGTCGGATGCGATAGTGTAAGACTGCCTAGGGAGATAGTGAAGGATCGAGGGAGCGAGAGTATTTAAGTCGTTCGATGTTTGGTTGACTTGTGGGTTAGGTCTTGAGATGAATCGGTGTTGAGGCTTGAGTTGTGGTTGATGTATGAGACAAGTATGAGGATAGAATAGGGAAGGAATGATTGGAAGAATTAGGAAGAAAGAAAAGCGGAAGAGAGAGGATAGAGAGAGAAAAGAAAAGATGAGAAACAGAGCGCGGAGCGGATAGAAGAATGAGAGCGCGGTGCGGAGAAGAAAGAAAGAGAGTGCAGAGCGGAAGCGGAAAGCGTTGAATTGGGATAATTCCAACAACCAGACATTAATGGGGGTGTTTGCTCCTATCAAGGACCATTTTGAGCAGTACTTGGTGGGGGTGTGTCCTCCCATTGATGAACAGACAAAACCAGTAACTGATGGGAATGTGCTGTCCCACTGATGACCACTTTGACTGGTAATTTCTGGGTGGTGTACTTCCAGGTTCTTTGATGGGAGTGTCCTCCCATCTAGGAC